TGTTAGTATATTAGTGTGATCACCAAACAACAGATTCAAACCTAGAAACTTTCTATATTTGGACAGAGTTTCTGCTTTTTTGAGATGCCTTGTGTTGTATTGAGGCTTCAGCAAGCTTGACTCTTTGGTAGAATGTGAATTATATCTCAGCTCAGTCAGCTTCCATTTGCCTGCATGTAACAGAATAGACCTTCTTTTCCCCAATCTTCCCCTTTATTCTTGCCCCCCAGCCTCTACATCTGCATAGTGACTTAAAGAAGTTAGAGCGCCCCCCACCCCATAATCACAAATCTAAGAATAGGCTCTCCCAGACTCCATGCTGCTATCAGAAGCCGATGCACCTCCCTTCTTCATCCTGTGAACCTTGAGCAAGTAACTTGCACCCTCCTTTCTGCCTGCTTCTTGCTAGATTATCTGTGTGCTGAGTGGAAGGAAGAACAGTAAGGGGCAAAATTTGTATACCAGTCCAGTTGCCTCCTTCATAGAACTTTCCCAGAAACTGTACCTGGAAACTTCTGTTGACATTATACAACCATGTCACATGGTTATATCTAGGTTTAGGAGAGATTGGGAAGATAATATTTTAGCTAAGTACACATTATTACCCAGACAAAATCCAGGGGAGTGATAGTAGGGAGAAATTATTATCGAGGCAATAAAGTCTTTATCAACATTTTATTTGGTATTTGAAGTAAAGGCTGATCTTATTACTCTGCAACATCAGTGTCTAAGGTCCTGCCACAAAATCTGCATGTAGAAAGGTGAATTTATTTTTGTTTGGGATCTGCATAAGAGCTTCCTTACATTTTGTGACTGAATATGAGCTGAACACAAATAACATACTAGGAACTATTCAAAGTCCAGAGAATGAGCATCTTACAAGATTGCTTCTCTATGTAAGCACATAATTGCCTATCCTATTTTTAGGAATTTAGTTATTGGGGGGGAAAAGATGACTAGCTGGTAAAATGAGTTTATTACAGGTAGGCAGATTTGCTTGGCATCTGTCCTTTGGTTCCTCACTTTGGTGAAGGTTTGGAAAGAATGCAGCATTTGTTGGATGTCTGTTGTGTGCCTGGTATTTTGATTTGTTACAAGAAACCTTGATTGACTGCCTAAATAGGTTTGCTTATGTGATCTTTATTCCATCCCCAACAATCCAGCAAAGCAATTACAATGGCTTGTGAGGAAGCTACGGCTCAGGGAGTTTGAGTAACTTGAAAAGGTCGCTCACTGAGAAATTGACAGGCCTTCATTTGAGTCCAGACACATTTGACTTCATAACATGTCTTTCTGCTCACCTGAGTCTCTTGCCTTTCACTGATGATCAAATTTGGCTCTAGCTATGAGTGTTGAGCCATCCATTCCTTCTTCAGCCCTGTGTAATGGTGAGTCCTGAAGTAGGTGGTGGAAACTTTGGGTTCCATTTGGATACTCTGGCTTGTCCTCAGAGTTATTTGTTACTTGCTTAAATCTTACTAGAACTTGACTTCCTTTTGATTTTTCAGTATTTCTTTTTTTTTTTTAATTTTTCAGTATTTCTTTTAATAAAGAACGATTGAATACATATACGTGGTACAAAATTCAAAAGGATACAGATAATATTTAGTTAAAAATGAGTCCCCACCCCCCACAGCTCTGGCTTACCAGTCCTTTTCCACGGTGGTTGGCACGTTTTTGTATATCCTTTCAGAATTATTCTATGCAGATATTAATGTTGAGTGGGTGCAAGGGTGGAGGACATCTATATCCTGTGTGCTTTCTTCCTTCCAGTTGAGTCTCTTGCAGAGTTTGTGGTCTTCAGACATGGACCCAGCAGGAGTGAGATGGAGAGGACTGAGCTTATTCTAGATCCGGTCTCACAAGCTGGCCTCTTGCTGTACTTTGGTTGCTTGTCTGTGAAGTCTATCTGGAGCAGAGTCAGTCCTCCTGGACCCTCTTGGACCGTCTGAAGACCTCCCCACATGTACACTGCACAGTTCTACCGCCTGGCTTTGCCCATGGCCTTGAGTCTTCCTTTGTTCCCCTTCTTTGGGTCAGAGATGGAGGCCAGGAACAGCTCTTCAGTTTTCCCTGGGGTGGGGTGTCTGCGGAAATGAGGGCCAACTCAGTCAGGTTGGTCCATTTGAAAATGCTCACATCCTCTCCCTCTGGCAAACATCTCAGTCCAACACGTGTACTCCTGGTAAGACCCCCGACCCCTTTCATGTCTGCTAGCCCGGGATCTTTATGCATAGGTCCCTGAAATGGGACAATTCCAGGCTCAGCATAGAAAGGTTGGTTAACATTTTAGTAGAGCTACCCAGTTCGTCTTTTACAGCTTAAAGAATAAAATTCATAAAGGTCAAAAATAATATAAGTGAAGTTTATCTACAAGATGAACATTTCCTAAGAGCACCTGTTCTGGGGCCTCCCGTGGCCTAGGGGTTAAGTCTCAGAGCTAGGCACCTCTGTGGCCTGAGTTCAATCCCCGTCCAGGGAGATAACCTGCATATGACGTAGCAGTCCTCTCCTGTCTCGCACGCTGCTCCCCTTAGCAGTGTATTTCAGAAGATCTGCCTGTTCTGCTCCCCACTCTGTCTCTGGTGAATACTTCTTCCCCTCTCCCCACCCCACCCTCCTCTAGTCTGCACTCCAGTTCTATGTAAAAAAAAAAAAAAAAAAAAAGAGCATCTGATCTTACTCCTTATAACTTCCTATGAGGAAAGGACACTTCTCCCTGTCTCTTTAAATAGTACAGATAGAAATCAATTGCCAAAAATCCTTTTAATAAACAGTTCTATTTTGTTAATTGTATTCTTTTTCTCTTAATAGTGTTTCACATTGAAAGCTTTCTTTTTTTTTTTTTTAATCTTAAATTTTATTTTTATATTCCCCCATACAATTGCAAACGCCCCATTCTGACCCCAATCCTTCCCCTCCCGCCCCCCACCCCCCAAAAAGTGTCTCTGGTTCATAGTTTTTTGTTGATTTTGATTTTCACTTTCTTATATTCATTTTCCTGGTCCCTTATTTAAGTTTTCTAGATTCCTGCTATGAGTGAGACCATCCGGTATTTTTCTTTTTCTTTTTGGCTTATTTCGCTGAGCATGATCCCTTCCAGCGCCATCCATGTTGCTGCAAATTGCATGTGTTTATCTTTTTTGAATGCTGAGTAATATTCCATGGTATATATGTACCATATCTTCTTGATCCAGTCATCTACTTTTGGGCATTTGGGCTGTTTCCAAAGCTTAGCTATTGTAAACAGTGCTGCTATAAACATAGGGGTGCAGGTGCTCTTTGGAATTGATGTTTCTGTGTCCTTTGGGTAAATACCTAGGAGTGGAATTGCTGGATCATATGGAAGCTCTGTGTTTAGTAGGTCCAGAAATCTCCACACAGCTCTCCATAGTGGTTGGACCAGTTTGCACTCCCACCAACAGTGCAGGAGAGTTCCTTTTTCTCCACACCCTCGCCAACATTTGTTGTTGCTAGTTTTTTTAATATGTGCCATTCTCACTGGTGTGAGATGGTATCTCATGGTAGTTTTGATTTGCATTTCCCTGATTACAAGTGATGTTGAACATTTTTTCATATGTCTGTTGGCCATTTGCATTTCCTCTTCAGAGAAGTTTCTTTTTAGCTCTTCTGCCCATTTTTTGACTGGATTATTTTCTTTGTTATTGCTGAGTCTCATCAGCTCTTTGCAGATTTTTGTGATCAGTCCTTTATCATTAGTGTTGGATGCAAAAATGTTCTCCCAGTTGGTGGGGTTTCTCTTTGTTTTTGTTATTGTCTCTTTTGCTGTGCAGAAGCTCTTTAATTTGATGTAGTCCCAGCTGTTTATCTTTGTCTTCACTATCACTGCTTTGGGTGATGTGTCTGTAAAGATGTCTTTGATGTGCAAATCCCGTAGTGTTTCGCCTATATTTCCTTCTATCACATTGAAAGCTTTCTAATGCATGCATATTGAAAGCAGTGTGGATAGTGTTAATGGAATAGTATCAAAATTATGCCACAAAAACACATTTTCTAATGAGGTAAATGAGTTGTAAGAATTTTTCAAGCATCTACTTGAAGGTGTACATAATTGCAAATATATGTTAGTGTTTCAATGGTGGTTTTTCAATCTTTATTTGTAGGTTTAACCTCTAAGCAAAACCACTCTGTTGATATTGCCTTCATACAGTAACTTGTAGTCATGTAGCAATTTTACTTTGAAAGCGTTTTCAAATGTAAAATCTTGCGTTAATAATTAGGTCAACAAGGTGTTACTATGCCAGAATTCTACAAAGAGCCCTCAAGGCTACGCTTGGTCAGGCTCCTGGTTTCTGTTCCAGCCTCCCCTCCTTGCTCAGGCTCACTGTGCTCTAGCCAGCTGACTCCCAACGTGAATTGAGTTAAGCTTTGTGCTACATCTCCAGTACTTGACATCCATTCTTTAAATATGTGGTGACAGTCATTAAATATTTGTTGAATTTAACAATGGAGGAAATGCAGACCAAGACCAGATGCAGATAAGAAAAAACTAAAATTAAATGGGATAAGAAAAAACTAAAACTAACTCAAACTGTTGATGGAAAATTACTATGTGAAGCACTCAGAACAGTGCCAGGTATAGAATCTATTAGCAAATTCACTTGTGGTCTCTATGAAGTCAATTCTCAGATTACTTTGCTGAGTTAATTCTTTTCTAATGAGTAAAGGGGGGATTCATTAACATTGTTAAAAAAAAAAAGACCAGATGCTTTTCTGGCTCTCTCCTATGGACCAATATTAGTACCCAGGTGTCCTGCTTCCTAACCCAGGCTGCTTTTAACAAGATCATCTCAATGTTTTAAGAGATTGCCCTTCTCTGAAGCCAGACTTATTAGAGAAGTTTTTCCTTAAAAATTATTTTAGCAGTCCACCCTCTTCCTTTTGTCCCATTCCAGGATTGCAAACCAGTCGTTCGCTTACAGCATGTGAGTTGTGAAGGACATGACCATCAGGTTTTTTTTTTTTTTTTCTTCTTACAGGCCATCTTTGGCAGCCAGACACTACCTAACTCCAATTTATGGACAATTCACAATGGTGCAGCGTGCAGAATTTCAAGTGCCGCAGCCAATGGCCAGAAGTCAACCAGTCTGCCACAAAAAGTGGTACCGCCTCCAAGTTCTTCCTCCCTCATCCCTAAGCCCCCATCCAATCACAAACAAATCCTCAGAAAGACAACATCCCAGAGGGCTTCGAAGTAAGTTTTCAATAATCTTCTGTTCACTTTCTTCTGGGCTATTCTAATTCTATATTAATTCTATGTGATACAAAATTCTATGTAGAATTCTATAATTCTGTATTAATTCTATGTACTCTTTACTTATGGCACCTTCAAAGCAGTTGTACTGAAGGTTGAAAATAAGAACACCTAATGGGAAATAAAGGCTAACTGCTTCTCAGCCCTAGCTGCAAGTCTGAGTCCCCTGGCGAGCCATTAAAAGGAGCAGGAGTCTGAGCTCTGCCCCGTGGGAGGGGCAGGCCCTGCTGTCAAGCTGCTACCTGTAGGTTATTGCTAACTTCTGCTGGCCTCTGGCAAGAGCTACAGTCAGACAGTGTACCAGGCAAACTGGGCTTCAAGAAAGGAAGTAAAAACTTCCTCCTGGATGTATCTTCTCTTCGTCATTCTCCAGAGTCAAATCTTTTCAGTTTCATATAAAATTTTTCACCCCTCCCTCCCTTGTTCACTTTTAGGCCCCTGAATGGGAGAACATAGGATTAGGGTTTCGCTGAGGGTGATTAACCCCATTAGTCAGCAGGCTCTGTGTGGCAGCCATGTTTCTTATATCTTTTGTGGTCTATTTATTTTACCTCAAAAAGACATTTCCATGCCTGAATCAAATTTCTGTAGATCACAGCCTCCATTCCACCACCATTTTTTAGCCATTCCACCCATTTTTTAGCCAGTGAACCAGGAATAGACCAATAAAGGGGGCTAGTTGATTCTAGCAGCCCATTTAAAATTGGGGAACCTTTCACAAATGTCTAGAAAATGCAGGCATTTCCCTGATGTATAAACATCTAAAGGAGATTTATGCTCTCATTAAGGCCTCTCTTTCATTTGTCCTTTACAAAGTCAGTTTTAGTTATAAGAATCCTGGGACACAAAAAAAGCAGTTACTGTTTTTTTCCCTCTTGGACAGTGAATCAGTTTCTAGATTTAGATGGCAAACAATCCCTGTGGCTATTTAATTATAATGCTGCATCACTGATTTATCCAACAAATATTTATTCGATGCCTACTAAGTACCAACCACTGTTCTAGGAATAGTTGGCATTGTAATGGCTTTAGAACTCTCCGAAACAGCAGGGAAGGCTGCAGTACATGGTTGAAGGCCAATAGCCCAATAGAAAGGAGACTGTATGGCCCCTGGTCCTAGAAGGAGTCAAGACAGATCCCAAAGTTGCTGTGAACCAGACTTCCTGCATTCATAACCCCACCCCACACTCTATTAACCTAAGACTTTCAGCAAGTTATAAGTTACTTTACCTCTTGGCCTCAGTTATCTCATTTGTGAAATGAGGATAATAAGAATATCAACTTCATAGGATAGTTGATAAACATGAGCAGAGTTAATACATGTAAAGCACATAGAACAAGACCAGCAATAGAACAATTCAATAAACCCTAGTCCCTGGCACAAGCATTCTCTAACCACACGCTGCTTCACCAGTTTGAGAACTCCACCATTAGGTGGGAAAGTTAGTGAGTCGGATGTGAATGTTGAATTTGCCTGTGTGCTCCTTGGTTGTGGATTTTCCCTCTATTGCCAGTACCCTGATGCTCCTTGGCAGCCTGTGTGGCTGGCTGATGGAGGGGTGGGCTCAGCAGCAAGCAGCAGGACTGGACACTGAAGATGCCACTCACTGCCCTGAATTTGCTGCTGCCAGAACTCTCCAGCCTTCTGAGATGGAATTGCAGCTCTGTGGACAAACTTTGCTTTGCTGCATTTTTGTGGTTTCTTCTCTCTAACAGTCAGGAGTGTGGGAAAACCGGAAACAGCTCAGCACCAAAAATGCACAGAAGGGGGGAAAAGCAAGATTTTTTTCAGAATTGAAGAAATATATTCCAAGTATCAAAAGGCATGCTATAAGGCGTTGTTCCAGGAAATAGTTTCCAATTTGCTTTTAAAACTCGAGCACAAGTCTCTGTAGCTAAATAAGTTAGCATTAGTAGAGACTTTACTGTTCTCTCATTTACATGTAAAATGTACAGTGGTGTGAAGACATCCTGTTTTTAATATTCTTCTGACTTTTAGGAAAAAGAATAGCACTGTTTTGATCTGAACTGACTCAATGAAAAGTTCTATGAAGTAACCAGAAAGTTTTTTTGTTTAAATTTTTTTCTATAAATTAATTTCAGATTTACAGAAAAGGGTTAAAGATAATAGCAAAGATAACTACCCACAGTTATTAACATCCTATATTGCCATACTAAGAATCTGTCATTACTGTCTACAAATTACACATTAGTATGAACTAAACTCCATACTTTATTTGAACTGATGAAGTTATTTTTAATTTAGAGAAATCTTTCATGACCATGAGTATCAGCCAGTATATTCTTTTCCCAAAGTCATTCTTATTCCTAGCCAGCATAGCAAGTCACTTAAAATTTATGCAGCTCAGCTTCCTATTTAAAATAGTGGGAAAATAGTACCTGCCTCTGAGGGTTATTTAAAAAGAAATGAATTAATGAATCTCAATCAAGCACTAATACAGTTCCTAGCATATAATGTATGCCAAATAAGTGTTAGGTATTATTATGGCTAGCACTATACAGGCATTTCAAGAAATTTTCATGTAAATTTTTACTTTCTGTAAAATATGTTGCTTCACTTGCTGAGATTTGCATATGTCCTTTCCTCTGGCTTAGTTCAGATTAATCGGGAACATTCAGTTATGACTGGTGATACTGAGTCACACTCAGGAATGCCATTGTTGCCCCAAGAGACACAACTAATGAGAAATTGTAATGAGCTTTTGACCATGCCAAGCCCTGTGTTTTGGGGTTAACTTCAAACTTCTAGCACAGAAGTTGGCATTGGACAAATATAGAAGCACTTTCCAAGAGCATCAAAGTTTCCACATCCTAGAGGGTTGACTTTAGAGAACAATAGAACATAAAAGATGGAATGTCGTTTAGATTTTGGTGCAAAGGGAGTTGAGAGTCAGAACAGTGGGGTCCTATTTCTTTATGGTAATATTCAAGTCACTTTCCCTCTAAATGTTTCAGTTTCCCATCTGTAAAACAAAAACCACTGTCCCCACTGAATAATTAACCAAAATTACTTGTTCTCTGTCTATTCCATTGAAAGCTTTTTTATGAGCACATTTGTTTTCTAATCCTGATGCTTTACAGCCATTTTCCCCATCCCCTCTTGGACCAGCAGTTCTTTGAATAGTTCTCAAAGTCATATACTTATATTTCCTTCAGCTAAATCTCATTTGTCAATTCTGGGACGAGAGTGATTTAGATTTTTTTTTTTTTTTACCTTCCCCATAGTGCCAGTAGCCTTTCTTGATTTTCCTTTCTAATGTTTGCAACACTTCATAATTTAATACCCGCTTCAGATCCTCCTTTCAAAACTATTTGTGGTATTTCTTGCAAGCAGTCAGCTGAACGAGGAGGGACAGCCTGTGAGCAGCTCCACACGCATGGACTGTCTCTTCCTTGTAAACGGTCTCTTCTTTTTTTACTTTTCAGAGCCAGACTCACACTGTCCAGGAAATAGGCAGAGAAAAAAACCTGAGGATATTAAAGTTTGCTAGGGAATTGGGCAAAATTCATAGACTAGAGATGAACTTGGAGGGCAGGGCCAAAGCTGTGGCACCTTAGGACTTCTCTGAAGAAAGGAAAGAGACTTAACTAAAGTGCCTTTCTTTAAGTAGCTAGGGATACTTTTCCTTCCCCAGGTTTTAGGCTATTCTGCATCAGGGTGACCTCAGTGGAAATTGAAGGTAGCTGCTGTTCTGTGTCAGCACCCAGGACAGTGGTGCTTGTTAAAAACTGCTAGAAATAAGGAAGAGGAAAAAGAGCAAGCTCAGCAGCATGGCAAAGCCAAATATCAGTTAATGTGACCTGAACTTTCGCTGATATCAGCTAAATACAATGGAAGATGCTCAGAGATTAATGTCAAAAAATATAAAGATCAGGTTAAAAAAAGAACAAGATCCTGTATCTTTTTAACATAGGAGTCATTAAAATGAGACAGAGTGGTCAGAAGTTCTAATGGTCCAAAAGTGAGTTCCTGATGCAGATGTAAAAATGTCATATTGTAGGTTAACCATCTCCTGTCCATCTTTTCAGCCTTTATGTGTAGTTTCAAGAACCACCTTAAATACAGGGTTTTCTAAGTTAAGCATTTTCAAAATACAGAATTGTGGAATTTTAGAGCTGGAACTTTGCAAATAGGTAAGAAAAGGGAAAAGATTAATAAGGGAATGGTTGTGAGGTAACTAATATAAAAATAATAAATTTTTTTAAAGGAGTGGAGGCATCGTGTGGGACTATGAGTGTCACAAGGTACACAGGTGGTCAGTGGCAGAGCTCAAACTGGAATCCATGTTACCAGCTGTGCTAACCCTAGACTCTTCCCTGTAGACCACTAATTTCAAATACCCCTACCATTCCACTTAAATCTATCCTGAACAGTAAATGACAGAGTAATCTTCTTGAAACATTGCCTTTGAGAAAATGCAATGTCAGTACTTAGGAACTCCCTCCCTCCCTTTCACACCAGTTTACCACTTAAATAGCCAATGAAATACTACTAAGGAGGAAGAATTAGTGTCTCTCTCCTACTGAGGTGTTAAGGAATTTCTAGTAGATGTACCACAAAAGGATTCAGTTGAAGAACAGCACTTTACAACCTTCCAATGAATATGCAGTCTAGACAATGAGTGGGAGATCTGGAATGCACCAGACAATACTCTCACTCTAAGGGGCGGGGCCTGGAGGTAGGAAGAGGTGAGGGCCAGTCAAGAATTCTGTCACTTACCCTCTCATTCCTCTACCATACCTCAGCATTTAGACCTTAGGGGTGGCATTTGGAGAGCTTAGGATTTGCTTTTGGCATGGACAATGTTATATCAGTCAAAAAAATAAGTATTAATAACCATACCCAACCAAAAGTTGCTACTGGAATGCGTGTGGTCCAGTGGGGGAGGAAAAATACAGAAGAGTGGTGCAATGATAGG